CCTTATAGTCCTCATCGTGGTGGTGCATGGGAAGCATTAATTAAATCTACAAAACGTGCGTTGTACGGAATTGTATGGCGAAAAGATTTAACTGCGGAAAATTTCCGTACAATATTATATGAATTGGCAGCTATCATCAATTCGAGACCGATAGCATCGATCGACAATACGATTCTAACGCCTAATAAACTAATTTATGGAGCAGAAATAAGAAGACCACCACAACCACCGTACAAATCTGACACGAAAATGGACCTCTTGACCGAATGGAGAAGTAAACAACGTGATATAAATTCTGCCTGGAAAGTCTGGTTAGATTTGTATCTTAAACAACTACGTAATTTTCATAAATTTTCAACAAAGTATGAACATTCCAAAGTCGGCGATTATGTATTGATAAAAGATAGTCGCTATGGAAAAGAAAAATGGCCAACAGGAAAAATTGTTGAAACAATACCGGATACTAATGGAATAATTCGCACTTATCGTGTCCAGGTTGGCGATGATATCATGACAAGAAACAATCGAGATATATACCCACTCGAAGGGGGGAGAAATTGGTGCGAAATGTGAAACAGAAACGCGCGAAGAAATGTCAACCGTTTTCGCGATAAAGATCTTCAACTGTCAAAACACGAATAAAACACGCGATATAATAAAGACCGCCCATAATCGAACGATTTTTTCAACGGTTTTTAGGAAAACATATAAAAGCGAGCCACAACACGCTTAACAATTATCATATATTTCATTAAGATTTTGATCACAGTGTTTTGTTTCAGTCAAATGATTCATACAATGTTTTTTATTATTCATTCTTTGTAATCTATGTTTCAATCCAATTTTTGTCAATAAAATCATTATTAATTTTTATACAGTCAGCTTATCAGATGGACTGGAAGTTCCAAGGGTATTTTTTTAATATTTTTTTGAATGTTCTGCGAAGTAATTCACGGGAGTTTGAATTAAAGTTGTAAAAGTTGTTATAGAAATGATTTTCAGAATACAAGTTCTTTTTAACTCTTCGTTTCTATTTTGCACTAGATAGTCGGTGATCAATACCATCAGATATTAGTTGAGCTGTCTATGGGTTACGGCTATTAGAAAGATTTTTTAATGTACAACGTTTGCTTGGCGATAACTTCATCACTTAGTCGCTTTTCCATAGGTAATTGTAATGTACATTTGTTAATGTATTTATGTCACAATAGAAATTAATTTTTCCAAAATTCCCATCTCATGTTGAGTGATAGTAAAAAGATTATGAGCTATAGAACACAGAAGATACAATGCTTTTTATATCATAGCGACTAACAAGAAAAAGATAATGATCGATTTTTTTTTCTTTTTCAAGTTCGAAAATTCTATTTTTTTAACATAAAACCGAATTGTAAACAATGTAGATGTTGTTCGAAAACATGCTCGTTCGTTTTTCGAATTTCATTTCGAATAACAAACGCAGTTAATGTAACCGTAACCACTCGTGTGTAATGTGATGACGTAGAATTCAGGGGTTATATAAAGTCACCATTTCGAATTGTTTATTCATTTTGATTGTGTTTTGTAAGAACGTTTTGCTTATTCGACTATCCGTATAATAATCATTTGTTACTTGGTGGCAGAAAATGAGATTCGAAAGAGATGATTTCGTTTTTGTTATCAACAGTTACTAATCGAATTCTGTCGTTATTCCTAATCTTTATTCTGGAACAAAATATTTGAACAAAGGAAACATCGTTGCAACTGGATCTGATGGCGTACGTATGGTATTCATTGCCAGCTTTTTATCATCAGACCTTCAGATGGGAGCGAAAGCACCAAGAAAAAATATATTAACAAGAGAACAGGAACAACAGAGATCTGTCTAATTTAATGATGAAAAGAAACAGATTAAGTTCATTAAAGCAATTAATGGTTATAGAATTCCACTATATGATTCTGTGATCTGATTGTTTACAAAATGAAGGAGAATCTATTGAAGTGGTTATTTCAAAATCGGATCGAATTGGTACCAATTTTTTTGTTTTTTCGCCAATCTGATCAACAATGAGAAATACAAATCCAACATAATCACTACTTTTCAATTGAGAAAAAATAAGAATAGAAAACATTCAATTTTTCAAGCCTGAATACAGT